TCAGGGAACCTTGTGATTGACATGTTAGAACGTGATTACTATTTTTACATGGTTAACTGTATAGATTTCGATATTTGATGCATTTTTTCCATTCTATTCGTTGAAAAAAATGTGCATTTAATTCTTTTCTGTTTAGCAGTGACTTTGTTGAGTTCGCTAATAATTCACTGTTAATTGTTTTTTGATTAATTTTTTTTTGGAATTTCTTTACTGTGCAAGCGAACCGTTGATGACATCAGGTGTTAAAATTTTAGTTTGTGTTTGTTAAATTTCTTTTTTGTGGTAGATGAGAAGTTGTGTTGTGTTGTTTATTGGTGTTTCATGTTTTTCAAAGGATTTGTTGAAATGATATTTAAAGTGTTTTCCAAAGAGTGTTGAAATAATCTTTCTTCTTTTCTTATTCTCGTAACCAATTTGGTTCAATTTCTTGTATTGAGATAGATGTTCCTTATGGCATGCAAGTTTTTTATTTGATGTTTTGATAATATCTGTTTAGATGGTCTATATATATTGATGCCAAGATGCTTAGTATCACTTACTCACTAAAACTTTTTAAGAGTACTACGCATAGATGTTTTATATAACAGAATGTCTTTATATAATTATAGTGTATAGACGTAGTGAGGGGATTGTGACTTTGGGCGATCTCTATTTGCACGTTTAATTATTCTTTGGATCAAATTGTTCAGAGTTGATGGTGAATTTTTATCTGCAGAATTCAAGGTTGGAAGTGATTGTCGAGCAGCTAATTCATGGCTTGTTTGTTATAGAAAATGACTCCTCAAACTGTAATAAGGATATCTATAAGATGGTGATAGGCCTCGCAATGCTTTATGGTTGATTAATAAAAGGAAGATATATAAGTTAAGTGTCATGGAGATGAGGATGCTCTGGTTGAGGAATCTCTTAGAGATAGGAATGAAATGAGCATTCATAGATGAAAGGTTGGAGAGCCTCCTGGAAGAAAGATGGAGTCCCTGTATATGGTTTGGTCACATAAACGCTTTCTGATTGACGCTCTCGTTAGGAAGTAGAGTATTAGATGTGTGCTTATGTTAAATTATGGTAGGAGACCTAAAAGACTTTGGTTACAGTAGATTTTAGAATGACCTTTTCTTATATAGTGTTAAAACTTTGAGAATTTGACTTTTAATAGTAATCAATGGGAGAAAAAGGATGATGTAGCCGACCCCCAACGTGTAGTGATAAAGGCTTTGATGTGTTGTTGTGTATTTGTTGTAGTATGTTTTTTATGAATCAACTCTTGTTATTACGTATTAATATTTTATCACGGCATCTTTGACCTATTAAAATGTTCTATGTTTGATAAGTCTATTCTCAGTAATTTTTGGATGGCATAACTTTGAACACGGTTTATGTTGTAGCTTGTATTTTTTTCATTCTAAAAGTAATCTATATATCATTCATTCCACAATTTAATTTGATACCTCTTTTGATAGAAGATGTCCGCTGTTCCTTCTTTGTTCTTGCTGCACTGAAGTAACTGGATAATTGAGTTGTATCAACCTGATTGTTGAGCTCTCAGTCGAATGATAATTTCTTTTTTTGTTAATCGCACATTGCTTTTCCTTATTATATATAGAGTTTTATAGTAATCTTGTTTATTATAA